TGTGCTTTACGAGGCAGCATGACAAATTGATTCATTAAAATGTCTTTTTCACATTTATTAGGTTTTAAATATGTACAATATGTTTTAAAAATATGACCAATACCGACGTTAATGCTAATATATCGTGAATCCCTAATATTTATTCTGGATTTTAGAAAAATCCAGGTCTTCAGTTTATCCATAACCTTTGTAGATTTTGGTATCCATCTTATCGCACAATGTGAAAAGTCAATATTCCATTCCTGACCTTTTCAGTTTCCGGGTCTGTACTGCAAGGCTGCACATTGCTGCTCAGCTGGCTGAAGGAAGGCTACTACTATATTGTCCTGGTTACAGCAAAGATAAACTTGGAAAAAATTCCAGTCATGAAAAAGGCGGGCAGTCAATAAATGTTATGGATAATGAGAATATGCCTGTAATTATCAGCATTAACATCCATCGCTATCTACAGTAACTCTGAAGAATTTGAATTGATGTGAGTTACATTTAATTTCCCTTTGGGATCAATAAATTACTTCTGAATGTCAATTATTTCAGGAGCAGAAAAAAGAATACTGGGGATTATATTTCAAATAAAAGCAATCATTTTGTTTAAGCATTTTGTTTAAAAATGTTTTTTGGGTACTGTGATTATGAAGACAGGTTGTTGCTTTCCAAGGCAATTCCGCTCAATTCTCATATCCCTTCACTGGTCCATCTGGGATTTCTTCCATTGAGCTAGATTTCTCCAGTTAAGTTTCAACCGGGTCAATCAGCAAAAAGAGGAAGTTGTGAACGATTACGTTGATTTTTTGCGCTGTTTTAGAATTGCAGTCTGCATGTAGTTTTAACAACGGCAGCAGAGAAAGTGAACAAAGTAAAAGTTAGGGCAAGAGGAATAAGACATTTTATTGCTGGCAACGATGTTATTGTTCAATTTCACACAAACATATCCTATTTCCATTTGGCTCCGCTAATAGCAAAGGTAGGGGCTTGCCCGAGTGTTAGCTTTTTACAGCGTACGCATTTGCTGTTAGCTTCTGTTAGATTCCTTTACCACTGAGCTGGCTCTTTACGTGCATTGCGGCCAAACGTTTGCGATTGGGCTTCAACAGAGGCTACATCCACAGGAAGCAATGACTTCTATTGAGAAGTGCAGGCCTTCTGCACAAAGCAAAGCGTAGAACCAGGGTCTGGTTTTTACCAGGCTAGTGACTCTGTGCCATTCTATCATGCAGTGTGAATACCAGCCAAATCAGCAGTGGCCAGAAATTACTGTAGGCAAGCATAAAACGTCAATACTGGCTGTAAATATAGATTTTTCGGTAGGTTTGACGTCGTTAGGACAATCATCAAACCTTGGTTAGGTAGGATGGGAGGTCATTTTGAAATCTCTTTGTTAGAAACTTTCTTAGATAAAAATATGTTATCATTAATTCATAACCAAAAGAAGTGAACACACTGCATCCTTGACCATCAATACTGTGGACTTTTTTTTTTTAGATTGTTAGAGAAGGAGAGTGGTTCTGAATACATCTTCGCAGCGTTCCAGAAAAGTGTGACTGAGAGGGTTAAAAATCAAGTCTGGTAGCATTCTTCAGTGTGAGGAGCAGGCTGCAACTCTCTCCGATCTAATCCACTTCCTCCCCAGGAAATGGAGAAGGCGGATTTCTGCCCACACTGCAATTTCCTCCCTCATTCTTTTTCTTTCTGTCTTTTTTTTCACCCCACTCCCCCTCCTCCTTCTCATCTTGTTTTTTTTTTTTTTTCTTTCCCTCAGCCCCAGCCTCCCCTCAGGATATTCTCTCACTCAGAGTGTGGGGGGTTAATGGGCAGCTTGTTTTCCAGCATGTGCTGTTTGCACAGAAAACTGGAGAAAGGACAAGCAGAGGTGTTTTTGGATCGGCCACGGCCGAGACAAGTCACCTTCTGTTTGAGCGAGGAGAAGGGATCCGCCGCCAGCAGAAGCCTCAAACCAAACAATGAAAGAAGGGACGTTTTTCCGGCCTGGAGACGAAGTGTAGCATGGGTCTGTGCGCAAAGAGCTTTTATTTGACACATGACTAAAAAACAAAGTGGGACTTCCACATGTCTGCGGATGTGAACTGACCCGACGGCTCGCGCGGCAGGAAGTCCAACGCGGACCTGTTGAGCGTTCTTCCTTTTTCTGCAACAATGCAAAAGAGGAAGTGCGCTGAGGGAGTTTCCTGTTCATCTTATCCAGCTACAGCCAGTCTAACGCCCAGCAGAAAGCCCTGAACTTCACACTTGTGAGAAAAAAATAAATAATCACGCAGGTTAAACATTGACAGGTGCACGGATCCGGCGGGTCTGGGTTACTCTTTGAACGGTTGGATTATCTGCTGGCTCCGCTCCAGCCTCGCCTCCCATTTGATTGGGTGAGAGATGATGAATGACCATAGGGCAGCCAAAACCGACTGCAAAATAAACATTCTGCCATTGCAAAGTTCAATGCGACCAATTAAGGAACATTTAAAAGCTGCAGTTGGTATTTATTGGTTCTGGCAGAGGAGTAAGCGGTCACTCCCTTCTAGGTGTTCACAGGAACCAATAGAAACAAAGTTCCTCTCAGCAGTTCACACCAATTTAGGCTCCCAGTAAAATGTCAAACAATGGATGATCCGAAAATCAAAGGAGCTGTCTTGTAAACTAACAAACTAACGGTTTGTGCCACATCAAAACAGACGTTTTCCCAAAGCTTTCTTATGTTTACCGTTTCCAGAAAAAAAGTCCCTGGTATACACAGCGCCGCTTTGAGAAATGCCTTCATCCCCACAAGAAGGACAAAACCCTTCAGTAACAATGCATGGCCTCATTATGACATAACATTATGACAGAAACACACCAAACTCTGGCGTATAGGTGCTAAATCGTGCTAAATTTTATTCTATACTCAATATGACAGCAGAAAACTCCAATCACTCAATTACTTTCTCTGAGATCTCATTAAAAGGACATTAAACTGTAGGAATGGTCTTTTTATTGTGGATTTGAAACATCAACCATTCGCCCACTTTTTCACAAGGACCTACGTAGCTTAATTTGACTTGTTTTCTAGGGCTTTCCATTAAGGTACCAGCTACCCATTTAATATCCATCCAGTTGGGTTTCCAAGTGAGTACAGTTGACATGAATATTATGCAAATTATGCAAATTGTAATTCTGAAAAATAACGGAAGTGTGCCAATTTAAAAAAAAAAACGTAGGTCTTTTGATAAGAAGTTTTTTTAGGTGGTCTCTCTTTGTGTATTTCGGCAAAACTGCAATGGAATCACCTTTTTCCGCATCAAACGAGTTGCATGATCAACAGCCGGATGTTACCACCGGCCGACCAAAACAGAAGACGGCAGGAAGTGCTAGGAGGATGATGACACATCATGTTTTTTATGACTTCTCATATGAACAAACTTGTTCGCATGAGATTTTAATGGCGTTTTGTGTTTGTTCGACTTTAGTGGAATACCAACAATGATTTGAGCACATTTGTTTATGTGAAATATTTTAACGTCTGTAAAGTGTAAAGTGTAAAATGCTGACTCCAGTGGTTTTTCTGGTCTCCCTAGCAAAACAATGTTAGAATATTACGTATTTGTGCTTAAGCACTGCTTTGTTGTCTGGAGTTTTGCGTCTGTAACTGGAAGTTGACTTCAAATTAGTTTCAAAAAAGCTTACAAGAAGGATTTTTTGGGGACAAATTATGTTCTACTTTTCCAAGCTTCTATACTGAAGGGCTTCAAGCAGCTCTGCTGGTCTTCAAAGAGGAAAATTCAACTGATCTATTTAGAAACAATGGAAAAATGTGAGACTGATCCAACTTCATTCTATTCCACAGCAATGCCTCTCGAATTTCCACTTGCACCAGTCATTGTTTCTGCAGTTTATCAAACAGATGGAGTCATTTTGTCGGTACATACCACACCAATCAAGGAAATCTCTAATTCGAGACTTAGAAGAAGGGGGGAAATGAAGATTTTTTGTAATGAATGGGCTGAGCTAAAACATAAAACAAAGATTAATGTGAGTACCACACGTTCTTCCGCCTCCAAAAGCTGTCAGCCGCCGCGGCCCTCCTACTCCCCTCCTCCAGCAGTGTCTTCCCTCTCTACGTCTAAATTCTATGTTCTTTCTGAGCCCCGTTTCCCTCAGTTCTATATTATCTGAATGGATGCGTTTCCATTTCAAGTGTCGGTAAAACTTTGTTGATATTCCGCTAATGTAGGAAAAACACAATTTCACAATTGTGTTGGTTCTATTGAATAAGAAACATGATTAAAATCGCACGTTCATGTGAATCATTAAAAAAAACGATGCTGCACCATCATCCTTCCATCACTTCCTGTCGTCTTCTTCATCTTTTTCCACTAGCTGTAACCAGTTGTTCATCATTTGACTTGTGTGATGTGAAAAAAGTGTTTCCATTGCTTTTTTGCGAAATACACTAATTACGGTATGGCCAAAAAGCTAACACATCTTAGCACTAAAGCTTTATATTAAAAAAGGTGATTTTTTTTCTTCAAAGTTGGGATGTTTCCATTGAGCAAATTTATTTTTGTAATTTCAATTTGTGAAATGTTGCGGTCAATGGAAACGCAGGTACAGTTGCTCGTTCTGGTGCAGTGGGTCCATCAGTTCAGGTTCAGAAGTTTGACCTCAGCTGTGATAATGGACTGACTGGAAATGATGGGTTATATTCTGTAATATTTTAAATTAATAGCGTTTTTTTTTGCTTCTGTGACGTTGCAATCTCCAGAAGCTCAAACTGTGTCAACAGGAGAATCCCTCCCACACATATCAACTGATTCTTGTGTCTGAAAAAGAAAATAAACCGATTTAAAGGATCACTACATAGGCCAAGTGATGAAAAGCCGAAAGAGGGGGGAGAGGGGTTGAATCTGCCCATCTGTCCTGTTCAGATGACCGAGCGATCGATACGTGTGTGGAGAGTCACCGGTCATCTGTGTGTTTTGCGAGTGTGTGTGTGTTTTTTTTTTATGACTCACGCAGGTGCGCAGGCAGCCTGGCAGGCTCGTCCTCCATTCGGCTGGCTGGCCTCGCGGCGGGAGCATGGACGGGGGAGGAAGTGGAGTTTGGCAGCAGGTTCGCGGAAGGACTGAAAGAGCTCCTCTCCTGCTATGAATAGACACAGAGACACAAAGCATGGCTCACAAAGCTCCGAGAGATGCACCGGCCCTGAACCCAAACAGCCGCCCCGCCAAGCCGCCAGCCCACCTCGGCTCGGCTCGCCTCGCCGTGCTCCCACAGCAACCGCTGCAGCCAGAGGAAAATGCAGCGCTAATAAACCGCCACACTGCCCTGTTGAGTCATGAACTGGCTTTCAGGACACAGAATGCCACACATGTTTCAGCACATGTGTTGCTATGCAGGACACCGAGGTTCTGCACCGTCGGGCTAGATTGAACTTTAGACTCTTAGGAACAAACACAATAAACTTTGATTTAACTTCAGGTTAAACGCTTCCAAAAAAAAAAAACATCTGGTAAAGGCTTTGACATTTCCAGAAAATATCTGTTGAAATTGTCACAAGAAATGGCAAAAATGTTGACACTTCAGTAGTTTAAGGGTAACTTATTGCCAAGCGGCTCTTACATTGTTTGAACAAGTTAAATATTGTGTGAAAAAGCCAAGCTTCAGTGTCCAATGAGGCGCACTGACAGCTTCCTAGAGCTTCTCCAGGAAGCCAAAAAAAACAGAGCGAAGTTCATCTTGATTTCATATCAACTAGCAAATTAATATCGCAATTTTACTAACATACACTCAACTTTTATTCAATTTTTCAAAGCATAATCATTTAACAAGGCAGTGAGACTGAAGATGCACAGGTCAAACTTTTATCAACCAATAAAAAACGTTTTTTTTTTAACATCCAATGAGCTGATTCAAATTTAGCAGATGCAAACTCGTTTTGTAAGCTTTGTTTTACTTTGCGTATGCCATTTGTTGAGGCGTTTACATTAGGAATGAGTAGATTAGCCAATTTGTAGGGATTGACAGACAAGGGTATTGATATTTTACATGTGACTCCAAATTATTCACACAAAGGTTGCCTGTCCACTGTTTTTTTCTTTTGTAGTGCATGTCCAAAAAATTCTAAATAAAATATATCTTATAAAGCTGGAATAACTGCAAAAATGATGTTTGATTCACTGTTGGTTACCATTTACAAAGCAGCCAATCCATAAGGTGTATTCACTTTCCTTAGTGATGATTGGCTGTTCCCCCAAGAACGTAAAAAAGGAAGACTCTAGATATGATATGAAGATGGTTTCCACTGTGCGTATTAATGCATATTAAGGCATTTTTAGTGCGTGAAATATCAAAATTGACCATTATGAGCGAAGCGCAGTTTTAAAGGATTCAGGTTTAGTATTCATATTGATATTCTGCCAATATTGTGGGGTTATTTCAGTCCCTTTTATTAAAATGTCACCACTGATCAGCTATTCTACTGTCATGGTTGCTACTTTAACAAGACCAGAGTTTGCATCCTGACTGTCACTAAGTTAAGTTTAACATTTATGAGCAAGTAGAAAGCTAATAACCTCTTGAGAGGTTAAAGACAGATAAAGGTCTCTATTGCACAGCGGATTCTTCAAAAACCATCAAGGCAATAACAGCTCTAACTCTTTTAGTAAAAGATTTGGTGCATGAATGGGGATCGTTTTGTAATCTCAAGTCTTACCTGCATACAAAAACCTGCACAAGATGTTTACTGTGTTATAGCCAAAAAAAAAAACGGTGTAAACTAAAATTGAAATTCGAATGTCAGACCTAGAGGAAAACTGGAGATCAGTATTTTAATTCATTCGTTCATTCATTCACTCACTGTGTCGCATTCAATCAAAAGAAGATACTGATCAGGAATGAACTGTGGTGAAAATTAATCACTGTCTATGTATCTTTAATGTACTCAGTCTGTGGCAGCTGATAGAGTTCGGTTCAGACTTTAAACGTTTTCAGCTGTGATGCATTTACTGAATAGGGTGGGAAAAAAGTTCAGTCTGAGCTACCAATTATCGGTCAGAGCCAGTCAAGAGAAAACTGTCTGATTTTAATAACCGGCTGTTTAATTGGTGAATCCGTCTTGTACGTTTTAGGTGTTGCTAGATAAATTATTGCAGGTTTTTGAAAAGTAATTTTCTTAGATTTTTTTCTCGTAAAATCTTAGTTTATCACAATCTGTCTGACAAATAAACAATTTCTGTCACCTATTTATTATTGTCTCCCCCCGGGGCTTTTGTTGCCATTAAAATGTCCTGATTAAGAAAGAAGCCCATATCATTCATTAGCTTCCCTTCCTTTGACTAACGACGTATTCCAGACATATTTGAAGCTTTGCCTTTGGGTTCCAGCCTCCTGTCACTACCCAGCCGCTGACAGGCCTTACATACCAACAGCATGTACCAGGAATTTCCTGTGGAAGCCAAGCAATAATCTCTCATTCCCCTATTTCCTCCTGCTGGAAAGGAAAGGCCCATCTTGCCGCTTGTCTAAAAATTCACTTCCCCGAGTCTTCGTGCGGCTAGGACTGGATCAGTTAAGGCTGGGGCGTGTGATGGAGTCAAAGGGAAGGTGACCTGTGATGGAGCAGAGCCGTAGTGAGAAGGTGAACGGTGGGGGAGGGGAGGGAAGCTGGACAGCCGTCTTCTCTCCAGCTGCCGGAGGTGGAACTTCTCGGGGACGGTCAAACGCTTATCAGACTCAGTAATGAGCATCCCACATAAACAGGGCAACATCACTCGCTATCGGTCACAGAGACATTTTACACTGATGACTCCTTGGTATTTCTAGCTCTACATCTCCCACTTAGGACTGTTTTCTGGATTTCTATAAGACCTAAATAATGAACTTCAAATGTCCTGCCTGACGAGACACTTCACACAAAATGGTGTTCGGCTGATGGTGAACAGAGAGTATTAAAAGTCACAATTAATTATAAAAAAGTCACCAATATCAGGACGCATTTCTCATTCTTGTTTTCTTCAGGCTTTTACAGATGGGGAAGCTGATGCAGATAGAGCCACTTTGTAGTTAAACTGGATCTACTCAAAAATGTGCATCAAAGTTTATGCTTTTTGCCGATGAATTTATAGACTGACAAGAGAAGGAGTTCTCAGTTTTGATATGTTCAATGTATAAAGAAAACAATTTTCTTTTGGTTTTGTTTTTAGTATTCAACCTGCCGATGACTGATCAGAGGACATCAAAGGAATTTGGCTCAATCTGTTCTGCTTTCTGGTGATTCTTTTAGCACAAATGATTATCATTATGCTTTATAAATAAATTGTTCTGGCTCATTCGAAAACCAAATAAACATTTTACTGGGGATTAGTTGTTTCATATCCCTGCTGTGTGTCACTTATGTAGCTATTTATTTCTAGTAGGTACTTTATGCAGCTGCCTCAATTTGCTTGATTAGTAATTATGCTCCTGGCCATGTCATCCCCTCAAAATCAGTATTTTACTTACTGTATTGAAATGTTCAAGAAAATTGCATGATACATTAAATCAAATATACCCAGAATATCATTTGATAATTTCTTAAAATTACAATATGATAGTATAAAGTCTAGAGATGAGCAGAAATTGGAATAAATTATGACCTACAAAGCAGAAACTGTTGATTTGGTGCCTGATTAGTCACAGCTAAATGTTCAAAATGTGTAAATTATGTCAGGGTTTTGGCTGTCTTCAAGGAAGATTATTTTCTGTAGTCGTTAGTAGTGGTGAAAGCACCATGTTTCACAAAAACAAACATGACTTTTTCCTGTGAATAAAGGGGCTATTACAGGTCAATAAACTGGCATTTATTCTAGCTGGTAAAAAGAAGATCAGACAGTTTCAGGGCAATAGGTGGAAAAATGTGTAATTTTGAGTTGCGTGTTTCAACATGTTTCAAAATAAAGTCTTGGTTTAACAAATGACCTCTGTACGCGAGCTTTTAAAACACTGTAACAAACAGTTTCAACCTTAAACCCAAATTTAATTTTTGCAGCCGTTTTAATGCTATTTCAGATTAAGCTGTTGTTTTCGACATGTATTTTAAATGTAAAATCGACACTTCTATGCAGGCTACAGTCGCATTAGTTCAGGTTTTACAGCAGTGTTAGTAAAGTGAGTTCAGTCGGCTCTTACTCTGATAAAGCTCTGTTTGTATGTTCATGTTCTCACTCGGTCCTTTCGCCCCCTTGTTTTAAATGAAACAGTTCCCGACAGTCACGACCTCTTCCCATCAATACCACCATCATCATGAGCGCGAGCTGAGCGGAGCGGAGCGCGTGGAGCGAGCCGCGAGCAACAGATGAGCAACAAAACAGACGCGTGCGTCCGCAGCGCGAGCTTCTTTCTCTTGTTTGCGGAAAGTGTTCCTGCTGGAGGAGAGGAGCTCGGTTAGCCTGGCGGACGGTGTTACCTTGTTCGCAGCAGCAGAGGAGGAGGATTCAGACATTATCTTCCCGACAACTTCTCTCCCTCTCCTTCCACTTTTCGTCGTGCTTCCTCTCCCTCTCTCTCTCTTTCTCTCTCTCTTCTTCTCTCTCTCTCTCTCTGCGTGTGTCGGTCACTTTCCTTCACAGAAGCCCGAACAGCTGCAGCGGCAGGAGTGGCACACCGAGCGCTCGTCTCGTCACTATGGAAGAAGTTGTTTTTCTCCCGTAGCCCCGCTTCTTCTGCTTGTATTTTTCCCCTGTCTTCTTTATCTGCTGGCCCGGTCCATGGCGCGGCTGTTGTCGGTGTGAAAACTTCTTTTGTCTTTCGTGTGTTTTCTTTCACATGTCGGCAGCGCGCTGGTTAATAATCCCTTCCTGGAAGAGAGAGAAACCCCCCCCCCCCCTCCTCTCTCTCTCTCTTTCTCTCTGTGTCTCTCTCTCATTGATCTGGATGTGTGTAAAACGGCGAAATGACGTGAATTCCCAGCAATGAGCCTTGCCCCCTTTTAAAGGGAAACCCGAAGTAGGAAATCGCGGCAGATCTCTTTGCAGACACACACACACAGCGACAGGCCGAGACAGAAACACTGACACAGACTGGTTTTCTATTTGCTCCTTAAATCAAAGCTTAAAGCAAATGCGGTTACTCAATAGGCTTAACCTCTATACTTTAATTAGACCCTGCTGAGCGAAATGAAACAGCAAAAGTGTAAACAATATGACTGGACCTAGAGCGCATTGCAAAAGTATTAATACCTGAACTTCTCATGTTGAAATGTAACAAATTTTAAAGCGGCAGTATTATGTTAAATTGACTTTTTTGAGCTTTACATTATGTTATAATGTTATTCTCTCAT